TCCTCAACACTTGCACCCACTAGCTTCATATCCTCATTTAAGTAGTATTTAATAATAATAATAATAATAATAATAATAATAATAATAATAATAATAATAATAATAATAATAATAATGTGGATCCAACATGGTGGATGGACAGACAGACAGATGGATTTACTTTATTGTATCTACAAATTATTATTATTACAAATGTCTCAGGGTGTCTCATACTATTTCTAAAAAAGAAAGCCAAATTTTTTATTCAGAGCAGGGGGAATATATTTAATTTAACTTGACTATTAGCAGAGGTATCATATGGGGAATAATAAGGGAAAACACTCAAAATCCCAACAGATAATAGCCACACTACTGCAGAAAACAGGGAATTCGTCCATTTTAAGACCAATTTACATATACATGGTGAGATTTTATGAATCATACATAAACACAAAAACATTTTATATGAAGCCCTGCTTATTAAGGGCCACACATGCATTATAAAGCTCATCAACAAAATAGTGATTTAATGGGAAAAGCCAATTCAGTCTATTTGTCTGCATAATTTTAGCTGTTGTTAATTCATCAGACAATAAATAAATCTGAATTTGTAAGTAGGCTTAGCATATGGACAAATACCTTTCAGCATTTGTACAGTATAGTTAGAAGAGTAGTATAAGTAACAAAAAATAGCAAATAATATTTACAATCACACAGGAACTTCATACTAATTCATATTACTTCATGCAACTTCATATATGTAAGTTGTAAATGAGTGCTGAATGTGTTATCATTATCTGCTCAATAGTCTTTCATTTGAGCACTATTTGCATGCAAGAGGCGCTGTGAAGTGCAGAACTGGATGCAGAGTTTTGGAAACTCTGGACATATAAAGACAGTAGTGGGCAGGAGCTTGTGTCCCAAGCAGTGGTGTAGGAGAAAACAGCTGTCAGTAAGTAAATCGCACCCTCCACATCCACACCCTACCACCCTAGGGAGTCACACCCACACCAAGCTAGGTTTTTATGATGTAGTGTTTAGCATGTTTGCCTTGTACCTCTAGGGTTAGGGGTTTGATTCCCACCTTGTCCCTGTGTTTGTGGAGTTTGCATGTGGAGTGCTTCAGGGGTTTCCTCCCCCAGGCCAAAGAGATGCGTTGTAGACTGATTGGCAAATCTAAATTGTCTGTAGTGTGTGAATGGGTGTGTAAGTATGTGCAGTTGTGCCCTGCAACGGGTTGGCACCCTGTCCAGGGTGTCCCCCGCCTTGTTCCCTGAGTCCCCTGGGATGGGCTGAAGGCTCCCCCGCAACCCTGTATATAATAGGTGGTACAGAAAATACATGGATGGATGGATGGATTATTGCTCTTCTTGAATTTATTTTGCCTATTCTACAATTTTACCCTTCAACCAGTAGACAGAGTGTTCTGATTAGTAGATATATTTTTAACAGCAGGTAGATCATGGTCAGTATTACCAGCATTTCCATTCTCATCCACATATATCCCAGCAATACTACCTTTCACAGCTGGAAACATGGTGCTTAGATGGTGAGAAATGTGCATTCATTGTAAGACTGGTAGTATCTAAATCTAATTCACATAAGAAGTCAATCCAATCACTTGGATTGCTTCATCCAGGGCAAGTAGGGTGAGGGAGCATAAGTAGCATTCAGTGTGAGTGTGCCTTCATGGCCAGCTAGTAAGGTTAGCTGTGTCAGGGAATGTAATATGGGAAAGGGAAATAAGCACATATGACTAATTCGGCAATTAGACACTGTTGTCACATTATACCGTGTCCTGTGTAACATAGTGTATTTTTATGTTTGAATGTTTCTTTATGTTTTACAAGTAGTTGTATAATTTCACAAAATGTTGTATATAAACGTGAGCCAGATTAGTTGATGCATAGGCCTACCCCCCACCCCCACCACTACCATTGCCACCCAAAAAATGCAGCTCGTCATTTTAAGGAGAAAGCGAAACTGCTCTGTCCTGAAGACTTTCCTGTGCTGATAAACTTTGCAAAGCTACATGACTGTTACAGAGTGCTTACAACAGAGAGACCTTGCCTAAATGTTATATATCTCCTAACAAAAAAAGTCACCACATCAATGATTATAAGTTTTACTTTGTTAAGCAACCTGTTTTTTAAAATCTGTTTATAACTTATGATTATCTAAAGCATCTGTCTCTGTGTATGAGCTGTTGCTATAGAAACAATAACATATCAGAACAGGTGCATTACTATTACCCTCATTGGCAATATAGCTGGGACTATTGTCCAAGCCATGCTATTATATGTAAATAATGTACACCATCTGACCAATCAGATTCAAGCATTTAACCGCACTGTAATATAATATGGTTTATTACAAATATCCCTAGATAATATAATTTTTACACCAGAACATAATAAAAATGTATAGGTTCAAACTTTCCTTTTTTTTAATTCGGTCAACATTAGGTATAAGTAAAGGAAGAAGAGTGGAGTCTCACAGTTTTTCTGACCATTTTGCAATCTCTAGCAAGGTTGTTAAGTGTTTTTCCCCAATTTCTCCCTAATTCGGTGTTCAATTCCCACACACCAGCTATGAATGAATGAAAGCTTTTATTGTCATTGTATATCTCTGTGTACAACGAAATTAGGAGCACTTCTGACTGGTGTTACAAAAAACAAACATATAACATTAAACAATAAATAGACTATAAAGTGAGTATACCATATAGTGTAAAAGTATGTATGTATGTAAAGCAAGTATACAGTATAAAGTATATACAGCAGGTGACTAAGTCATAATACTGCACATTGTGCATTCAGAAGGTATTCGGACCTAACCCCACAAGACCGGCTCTTCCAACACTTATGTTCGCTGGAAAATAAACTGGACTTAATTCAACTCTGTCGGTCTACACAGCAAGAGACAAGGGATTGCTGTGTTTTTATCTTCACTGAAACATGGCTAAACGACAACATCCCGGACTCCACCATTCAGCTGCATGGGCTAACCTGCTACCGAGCGGACAGAGATTCATCACTGTCTGGTAAGTCTCGCGGAGGAGGCTTGTGTATCAACAAAGAATGGTGTAACAATGCTGCGGTAGTATCAAAATACTGTTCGTCGCTGGTGGAGTTTATGTTTGTGAAGTGTTGACCATTCTATTTGCCAAGGGAGTTCACGGCTATCGTCATTGTTGCTGTGTACATTCCCCCGTGTGCAAACGCTAAGGACACACTTCACGAACTGTACCGCGCTATCAGCGAGCATCAAACAAACAACCCTGATGGCTTTTTCATTATAGCTGGTGACTATACCACACAAACCTAAAGACAGTTTTGCCGAAGTTCTACCAAGTTCTACAGGGTAAACAACACACTGGACTTTGTTTATACAGCAGAGAAAAATGCATACAAGGCTGCACCCTGCCCCCAACTTGGATACTCACACCACATCTCTGTTATGTTAATTCCAGCATACAGACCACGTCTCAAATTTGCCTAACCGGTTCAAAAGCAGATCACAGTATGGCAGACAATGCTACCTCAGCACTGCAGGACTGCTTCCAGGACACAGACTGGAACATGTTCAGAGAGGCAGCCACCTACAACAATCACACAGACTTACAAGAGTACACCGAAACAGTGACTGCGTACATCAAAAAGTGAATAGAAGATGTGACAGTCACCAAGACCATCACCACACGCACCAACCAGAAGCCATGGATGACAGCTGAGGTTCGCAGGCTGCTAAAAATCTGAGATGAGGCATTCAGATCAGGAGATAAGCCAGCTCTCAAAACAGCAAGGGCCAATCTGTCTCATGGCATCAAGAAGGCAAAACATCAATATGCTCAAAAAAATCAACAATAACTTCAGTGACAGTAACGACACCCAGACCCTGTGGCAAGCCATTCAGACCATCACTGGCACCACAGGCCAGTGACAATGACACATTCCTGCCGGATGCACTCAACCACTTCTACTCACGATTTGAGAAACAGAATGACACACCTGTGCAAAAACTACACACATCTCCAAATGACCAGGTGCTCTGTTTCTCTTCAGCCAACGTAAGAAAGACCTTGTCCAGGATCAACCCATGTATCAACCCATCAACCCAGTAATAACACAACACAATAATCCCTCAGCAGCCTATCAACAAATTAAACTTGCTGGGCCTTAACTTACCCCTCTGTAATTGGATCCTGGACTTTTTAACTGAAAGACCTCAGTCAGTCCGTGTAGGCCCAAACACCTCCAGCACTACCACACTGAGCACAGGTGCCCCGCAAGACTGTGTGCTCAGCCCGCTGCTCTTCATGCTGCTAACTCACGACTGCACTGCCAAGTTCAGCTCCAACCACATCATCAAGTTTTCTGATGACACAACTGTGGTAGGCGTCATCAGCAACAACGATGAAAGACACTACAGAGAGGAAGTGGCACAGCTGGCTGAATGGTGCAGTGTCAACAACCTGTCCCTCAGTGTGAGTAAGACAAAGGAGGTTGTGATGGACTTCAGGAGAAACTCTGTTGACCACCCCCCACTGACCATTGACGGCTCAGCCGTGGAGAGAGTTAGCAGCACTAAATTCCTGGGAGTGCACATTACAGAGGATCTCACCTGGACCACTAACATCACGTCACTTAACAAGAAGGCCCAACAGTGCCTCCACTTTTTCCGCGGGCTGAAAAGAGCAAGTCTCCCTCCTCACCACTTTCTACAGGGACACCATTGAGGGTTCACTGCAAAATTGCAGTGCTGCTGACCGCAAGACCCTACAGCAGACAGTGAACACAGCTGCAAAGATCATCAGTGTCCCTCTCCCCTCCATCCTGGACATTTTTCTTGCACAATGCTACCACCCATGAAGGACCCTACCCATCCCTCCCACAATCTCTTCCAGCTCCTGCAATCAGGTACATTTACGGTATTTGGCAGACACCCTTATCCAGAGCGACTTACATTTATCTCATTTTATACAACTGAGGGCCTTGCCCAAGGACACAGCAGTGGCAGCTTGGTGGTGCTAGGAATTGAACTCATGACCTTCCGATCAGTAATCTAACGTTTTAACCGCTGAGCTACCGCTGCCCTTAGGTAGAAGGTACCGGAGTATCAAAGCTCGCTTTGTCAGATTGCTCAACAGCTTTTTCCCCCAGAGCCCTCAACTCCAATCTCCCTGTCCCCCTCTGAAACCTCATCCACAACCCTACCTCCTGAAACCATGAACACCTCACCCCCTCCCCCAACTCATGAAAAACTGACGATCTGTTAAGTGCAATTCTGAGTGTGCTACACACAGGTGAGTGGACTATACAAACCACCTGTAGTAACACACCCTTTTTTCTGAATGTAGACTGAAAACTTTTATAGACACTTTTGATAATATATGTTTATGTTGATAATATATGTTTACTTGTGCATTGCACTTCAAATCATCTTGCACTATGCGCTGCTTCCCCCAAAATATCTCTTTTGCACAATTTCATGTACAATATACCTCTTTTGCACAATTTCATTTACAGTATCCATGTAAAGTTTTAGTACAGTATTTGTAAAGTTTTTGTAAAGTATGTATAGTCAATTTAATTGTTTTTCTTATACTTCTATGTTCATATTTATGTTTAACTTGTATGTAGCACCATGGTCCTGTGAGACACGACATTTTGTTCCACTATACACTCCTGAACAAAATCTTAAGACTGGGGGAAACATTCCAAGTATTCGCATTTCGCGTTGGTGGATCATAACCAGGTTGTAAAAACTGCTTCAAAATGTCAAAAGAAGAAAAAGGAGCAATAGACAAAAAACAGAGATTAGCAATTTATTGAAAACTGCATTTAAACTCAAACAGGCTGTTCATCAGCTGATCAAAAGTTTAAGACCATAGACCAAAAATACCCACAACAGAACTAAAAGTGTCAAAAAAAGGACTCAGTAGTGAGTAGCCCCACCGTTCTTGGTGATCACTTTAAACACTCGTTTCGGCATGCTTGATGCAGCTGTTTCCAGGAGGCTGGTGGGAACGTTGCTCCATGTGGTGAAGATGGCTTCACGAAGGGCATCCACAGTCTGGACCTGACGTCCGTTTTTGTAAACTTCCCTTGCCATCCATCCCCAAACATTCTCAAGGGGATTTAGATCAGGGGAACACGCAGGATGGTCCAGAAGTTCAACATTATTGTCCTGGAAGAAGTCCTTCGTCAGGCGGGCGTTGTGAACTGCAGCGTTGTCCTGTTGAAAGACCCAGTCATTACCACACAGACAAGGGCCCTCAGTCAAGAGGGATGCCTGCTGCAACATGTCCACATGGCCAGCCGCCGTTTGACGCCCCTACACAACCTGAAGCTCCATTTTCCCATTGAAGGAAAAAGCACCCCAGATCATGATGGAGCCTCCTCCACTGTGCCACGTAGAAAACATCTCCAGTGGGATCTCCTTGTCATGCCAGTATCGTTGGAAGCCATCAGGGCCATCCAGGTTAATTTTTTTCTCATCCGAGAATAAGACTTTCCTCCATCTTTCAATGTCCCATGTTTGGTGCTCCCTTGCAAATTCCAAACGGGCAAGTTTGTGGTGTGGGGGGAGACATGGCTTTCGAAGATGTTTTTTGTTCTTTAAGCCCTTCTCTCGCAGATGCCGTCTTATGGTTATTGGTCTGCAGTCAGCATCAGTAAGGGCCTTAATTTGGGTCGAGGATCGGCCTGTGTCTTCACGGACAGCCCGTCGGATCCTCCGGCTCAGTGCAGGTGAAATTTTTTTGGGTCTACCACTTGATTTTTTTGTCCCATAACTCTCAGGATCTTTTAAGAAATTTAAAATGATTGTCTTACTGCGTCCAACCTCGGCAGCAATGGCACGTTGCAAGATCCCTTGCTTGTGCGGCTCAACAATCCTGCCACATTCAAAAACAGAAATCCTTTTTGTTTTTGCCATCAGGAGATCATGACAGTGTGACTGTCTGAAGGACAATGACATTAAAGCCATATTTTTGCATAGATTTTAACTTTTAAAGGCTATGGTCTTAAACTTTTGATCAGCTGATGACCAGCCTGTTTGAGTTTAAATGCAGTTTTCAATAAATTGCCTACTCTCTATTTTTTGTCTCTTGCTCGTGTTTCTTCTTTTGGCATTTTGAAGAAGTACTTACAACCTGGTTACAACAGGTTACTTACAACCAGTGCGAAATGTGAATACTCGTAATATTTTCCCTGGTCTTAAGATTTTGTTCAGGAGTGTATGTCCACATGTAGCAGAATGACAATAAAGCTCAACTTGACTTGACTTGAGAACATTCTGAAAAGTGACCAGTGATAGTATTGCACATTACCCTCTACATTAGTGAAAAGTTTATTATAGACACGTAGAGTACAGATTGAAATGGAATAAGTGACCATAGTTGAGTAAGTGACCAGAGATAGTAATTGAACATTTACATTCTACATTTAGTGCATTGATAGTTAGAGTCCTGATAAATAAAGTGACCAGTATTGCACATTGGCATTCTACATATGATATAAACAGCAAGTGTAGACAAAAGTAGAGATTGTTGAAATAAGTCACTGTAGTTGGACACAGTGATCAGAGGGAGTATTGTACATTGACATTTTACGTTTAGTGCATTTGTGAGTTTATAGTCCTGATAGCATTTTGGAAAAAAATGTCCTGAAACCGAGTGGTCCTTGTTCTTAAGGATCTGGATCGTCTGCCCGAGGGCATGAGATCAAACAGGTGGTGGCCTGGGTGTGATGTGTCCTTGATGATATTTTTGGCCCTAGTGAGATAGCGGGAGCAGGCAATATCTTCCAGGGAGGGTAGTGAGCAGCCAGTGATTTTTTTGGGCTGTGTTGATTATGCTTTGGAGGGCTCTCTTGTCTGCTGCAGTGCACCTGGAGTACCACACCGAAATGCACCGAAATGCACTGAAACTAGCACCAAAATGCACCGAAACTAGCACGCTTTCGATGGTGGAGCAGTAAAAGGCCACCAGCAGCTTGCACACCAGGTTGTTTTTCCTGAGCACTCTGAGGAAGTGTAGCTGTTGCTGTGCCTTCTTGATGGTTGCTAAGGTGTTAGCAGACCAAGAGAGGTCATCAGACATATGGACTCCCAGGAATTTAAAGGTGTGGACCCTTTCCACACAGTCCCCATTGATGTAGAGTGGGGCTGGGTCAGCACTGCGCCTCCTGAAGTCCAGAAAGAGCTCTTTTGTTTTTTGAGGTGTTTAGAGTCAGGTTGTTATCAGAGCACCACACCTCCAGTTTCTGTACTTCATCTCTGTAAGCTGATTCATCATCTCCAGAGATAAGTCCAATCACTGTAGTATCGTCTGCAAATTTGATGATGGTGTTGGTAGAATGAGTGGGAGTGCAGTCATATGTGTACAAAGAGTAGAGTAGAGGGCTCAGTACGCAGCCTTGTGGAGAACCGGTGCTGAGCGTGGTGGTGAAGTAGAGGTGAGGTCCAAGCCTAACAGTTTGTGGGCAGTTTGTAAGGAAGTCCTTTATCCAGGTGCAGATGGAGGGAGAGAGGCCCAAATCCATTAATTTGCTGATTAGAATGTCTGGGATAATTGTATTGAATGCTGAACTGTAGTCTATGAAGAGCATTCTTACATAGGTTCCCTGGAGTTCAAGGTGGTTTAGTGCAGTGTGAAGGGCTATGGTGATGGCATCTTCTGTAGACCTATTTGCTCTGTATACAAATTGGTATGGGTCAAAGGTGGGAGAAAGACTGGATTTAATGTGCTGTGAGACCAGTCTCTCAAAGCACTTCATGATTACTGGTGTGAGTGCAACTTGTCTGTAGTCATTCATGCTGTTGGTGGCTGTGTTTCTAGGGACAAGGATGATGGTAGCAGATTTTAAGCAGGGTGGGATGATGGCTGATGTCAGTGAGAGGTTGAAGATCTTTGTGAAGACCCCGTGAGTTTTTTGGCACAGGCTTTGATTACCTGGCCAGATACTCCGTCAGGACCAGCGGCCTTTCTTGTGTTTACAGTTTTGAGCACTCGTCTCACCTCCCATTCCTGTAGGGTGAGATGGCAGGTGCTAGAGGTTGGTGTTGGCACTGAATTTGCATTGGGTCCATTGACCTCAAAGCAGGCAAAGAAATGAAACTTCCTCAGCCAGTGAGGCATCAGTGTAGACGGTGCTGTGGTTATTGTTCTTGTTGGTGATGCTCTGAATTCTCTGCCACACTCTTCTTGGGTTATTGTCTGTGAGATGGTACTCAATTTTTCTTTCATAAGTGTCTTTGGCATGTTTGATCTCACTTGTCATCAAGGGTTTCTGGTTGGGAAACATTCGAATCTTTTTGTTGACAGTGACATTGTCCGCGCAGTTTTTAATATAAAACAGTACAGTTTCTGTGTATTGCTCCAGGTTCGGCTGTTCAAAAACCTTCCAGGCTGTACGTTCAAAGCAGTCCTGCAGTTTGTTTTCCTCCTCAGCTCCCTCAGGCCAAATTTTTATAATCTTTGTGACCGGCTTTGTTTACCTCCTCAGCCGGGTGTATGCAGGGAGAAGGAGAAGCTAGCACTCCCCATCACATTATCTGAGAATGTTGAAGGCTAACACATGCTTCCTCCAAGACATCTGAAGTCAGCCAATTGCATCTTTTCAAACTGCTAGTCTTGCTGCATCACAGGGCAGCGTACCACCCTCGGAAGAAAAAAGATTTTATATGTTGTATTTTTTTTCAGTTGCACAAAACTCAAGAAGAAAAATACCAAAAGTTGATATTTTTAAAGGTTTTTTGATTAGTGTACTTGGGCTCACAGATGCCCAGGATTGGCTAGTGTGACTATGTAGAAATCTACATAGTGGAACATGCATTTTTTTAATCCCTTCATATATATATATATATATATATATATATATATATATATATATATATATATATATATATATATATATAATATTTTTTCAATATTTTATTTTCTATGTTGGAACAGTTGTAAAAAACATTTTCACTGCAAGTCGTACTGTGTATGGTTATGCATATGAAAAATAAAATTTGAATTTGAGTCATAAGTCTTGTGTGATTGAGAATTAGGTTGTAGCTTATGCACTGGGTTTCATGAAAAGTCA